CGTTCCACGGTGAAAATGCTTTTTTTTTTTTTTTTTTCTCCCCCTTTGCGTTATAGAACCCTCCCCTTCTTTTTTTCCCCCCCCCCCCCCCCCCCCCCCTAAATAAAACTGAACGAAAACTATGAGTTGATCGGCTCACACTGTAAATCGACTGTAGGACAATAATAGTGAGTTAATTCTGTCAATGACGAAAGAAATATGACTTTTTAGTTCCTTAATTCTTTTTTTCTATCATTGAAATTCAAATTTATTTTTCAGCTCTAACAATAACAATAACTTCATCCGACGACAATCGCTTATTAAAATGTCAAGAAAAACTCTCTGATTACTTGAAACGATGTTCTACTGAGATTGAACTAATAAATGGCTTTAATAATTGGAATCAACATATGATCAACGTTTATTTCAAATATTGTTATGATCGACGTATTCTGATTTTCAGTGAGCAAAATCAACGAATCGTTCTTAAAGGCCCTATATCAAATATTTATGAAGCCAAGGAAAAATATGATTTGTTAGTTGCTTTGATCACACAAAAAATATTCATACAACAATCTTCATTAGCAATAATACGACCAAGATCGGCTCCATCAGCATCAGATGGAGCAGATCGTGTTCTATCACCGACTATACCTACTACATGTTACAACATCATGTTCAGTTATTATCGAAAAGATTCATTAGCTTGTCATTATTTAACAAATCGTCTTATAAGTGAAGGTTTTTCTTTGTGGATGAATGATAACGAGATCAATTATGATGAAACTCTATTACAAATGAAGCGATCTGATTGTTGGATTATTTGTATTAGTAACAATTTTTATGAAAATAATTCATTCATGAACGAAGTTAAATACGCAAAAGAACTTGGTAAACCTATTATATCGATCAAAATAGAAAATTGTAGAACAGTTAAATGGTTAGCAGAAAATTTCATCGACAGTTGTAATATCCAAATGTTTGGATCAGAGTATCATCTCGATTTAGAATACGACAAACTATTGTTGAAAGTTGTGAGTAATGAAATTTATTTGCACTTTTCTTGTTCTGATACGTTCATGAAAACTGTGTGACTACCACCAGTAGAAACCATTAGAGATATATGCCGCATAACCGAGTTGCCACGGCAGAAGTAGCAAAAAAGATATTTGGTTCCTCGATTCTTAATATTGATTTTATGGTATATATTGTGGGGGTTTCATTTTCTTGTTATCTTAAAATAAATATAATTTACCATAGGTTAGTATTAAATTATAAATATAAATAATGACAAGTTCTATATATTTATTTTGAGTATCAATCGCCTCTAGTTAATTTGTAATTTATTAATCAATAAATTAAATAGTAAAGGAAGTGAAATTTTTCTATTTCTTCTCCGTACTGAATATCAGATGAATATTCAAGTGAAAAAAAAACTGTCTAAAACTTGTTGCAACTTTAATGAAAATAAACTCGCAAAAAACGCTCATGTAAACCTGTTGAAAAAGTATTTAAGTTTTCGAATAAATATATATACAGGCGACTATCCAACAAATAATACAACATGTTAACGGAGACATTTTTCGTAAGTTTATTCTCGTTAAAGTTTGAAGAATTTTTTAGGCGTTTTATTCGCTTGAATACTTTAATCTGACATTTAATAAGGACAAGAAATAGAAAAATTTTACCTCATTTACCATTTAACTTACTGTTTAATAAATTATAAATTAACTGGAGACAATCTATATTTAATTTAAATATAAATTACTGATAATTTAATTGACGAGTGAAATTAAATGTAAAGTAATTATAAGTAGATACTCATAGTATACTATTCTTATAAGTAAACAATCAACTTTCGACCGGTTTTTTATGATTTACTATCCATGGAAGTTAAGTGATATCTATTTTTGAACGTGAAAAATGAAATTTTAATCGATTCAATAATGAAATCACTAATTTTGGTGACCGGACAATTCATTGCAGGACAATTCGTCGCGGACAGTTCATTGTAATGATATCAGTCAATCAAAATTAATATGTATTTTTCAACAATAGAACAACTTATTCAATTAAGTTTGAAACATGTAATTCAATGACCATAAAAATTATTAGAAACATTATTAATTACTACGCTTCGATTTTTGATTTCAGGATATCCACTATAAAGAATCCTAGTAAGACACAAAGTCACATTCGTTTCCTACTCCATAATTAATATCAATAGTATGTAAAAAACCTTTGATTACGAGGTATCATCAACACTATTCTCGATATTGCATAAATCAACGATTCAATCGTACTAGTTTCGTTTTAAATATGTAAAATAACAGGTGATGCTCCCTAAAATAGCAGCATTTGTACATCCTACGCAAAGATTTAAAAATAGAAATTCATTGAAATTTTTTTTTGTAATGATGTCAATGCTGCCCGACTTCAGTGAACGCTAAATTTTATTAATCTTTTCAGGGTATTTTCTCATTGTCAGAAGCCTTAAACCGCAGTATTAATTTAAAAAAGGTGCAATACTACTTCCACTGGTATAGGGAAACTTTCATCACTTCTACAGCTCGAGCAAACTAAAATTTTATCGGCACAAAAAAAGGTTAGTGTACTGTTCGAGATCAAAAATCCAAGTTTAGTCATTAGTAATATTTCTAATAATTTTTATGATCACTGCAGTACGTGTTTCAACCTTAATCGATTAAGTTATTTCACTGTTGAAAAATAGATACTAATTTAGATTGACTTATGCCATATCAACGAATTATTCATGCGACGAATTGTCCTGCAACGAATTATCCTAGTACCACTAATTTTAGTCTATCAGTTGGTACTTGTTCTACATAAATTATAACATTTTGGTATGGTAACCAGAAATGTAGTACATGCGTCCCAGGATGATCACGTCTTATGCTTACCACTTGTTGAACTTAGGAGATCGAGAAATTTGTTAAATTTGAGTTTTTAAGTTAGAATTCAAGAAAAACTCATTTTACAACCACTATGATCAATATGGATCGCAAATTAAATAGTCTGATTTACATAAGTCAGAAGCCAACTTTTTCGGTGTCTTCCATGGCGTGTCTGATTTCTCATGAATCGACTCTTTACCAGCATTTTCTAAAGGTTTCATTTAAAGAAACCCTAAAGATTAAGAAAATTTTATCAAATATCATCGAAAACGTCTAAGTGCCATGAGCAACTGACTAAATCGATGAAGCGAGTTATGCCAAAGCGCGCATAGTATCAAATAAATCGCTGCCGAACATTTAAACAATTAAGAATTGTTGTATTGTCATTGACCATCAAAGCATCGGTCAACACCTCTAAGGACAATGGCTACTTAATTGGTGAGAGTGTATGTGTACGATCGTTAGTGAATATAAATGATACTGTAGGTCTTCTCCTCATTGACATCTTCACATCCACGTTCTGAATAGAAAAAACGATTTCTTTTTAAATTTTCATGAAAATTACTTTCAATAGCAGAGTTTCCTATTAATATTGCTGAGAAATTCATAGCTTTCTTCAAAATGCCATGTGATTCATAAATGTAATGATTCACCATTTACTGTATGAAAATATCCTGATATTATTTAAAATAATGCAATCTAGTCGTACATTTTCTTATTGTATTTTAGTTGCAATATACAAAACCAGGTTATACGTCACTATTACATCAAACATCAAATCGAGCCGATAATCTACAACAGAATGATATCGAAGGAGTAAATTCGAACAGTACAAAAATACGCATTTTTCAAACGTTGGCACAGCGAAAACAACTTTATGAAATGTATTTGAACAATATTATTAGTTCAAATGGCAGAGAAATTAATGATGACGAACTAGATGTTCTCCTAGACAAGAATCAAAATGTGACGGATGAAACAAGCAAACCTTCCGATGATGCAAACGATAATAATACAACATGTAAGTAGAATTGAAATTGCTATTGAGATAATACTCAAAAGTAATATATAAGTATGTGATTAAAGTTGTATATTGTACTGCTTCTATAGTAGATGACACGGAAAAACAAGCGCAAGAAATCGAACGTCTTCCATGCAGCGTTATTTGTACATACATACGATGGAAACAAAAGATGAGTATTATAAGAACAAAACAAAACATATTACCATTCACGCCTACTGGTGATATTAACGATGCACCATTTTCGATATTTGATAACACTCCAAAAACTCGACGTCGATCTCGCTCATCAAAAGGACAACAAGATATCATTGTGAAATGTGAATGCCTCTGTGGATGCATGGATGGGTCAATTTGTGTGTGCGCGAGTACGTCGTCTATTCATCGACAGAAATATAATCATGTCGACAATCAATCACGACCATCACGCACTCGTACAGCCATACCATCACCCGTAATTGCACCTCGATTCTACAGTCGTACTCCTGACTCATCACTGTCGCTTTCAACTTCACCCACTTCATTCAAAAATGATATACTAGAGCCAACTGAAAACATTCCAAATCATTCTGGAAGTTTCAAACGTGGCGCACGGCATCAAAAGAAAAATTTCGATACTAACACAATCGTAACAGATTCTTCGCTATCGTTACTTGAACAATCGTCCGCAAAAAAAAGTCGATTACCAAACAAATATGATGTGTCACACAATAGAAAAATTGATAAAAAATCTGTCAACAAATATCGAGTCCCAGAAGTCGAACGAATACAACTCTGCAAAATATTTGCAAATCGCATGAAAGAAAATTTGGCTGAACTGAAAAATTTATGTTTAATCGATTTCAAACAATTGCGTAAAAAATCAAAGCAACAAAACTCATCATCGTCTTTGTTGAGCATATTCTGTCCTTGTGAAATAGTGAATATGAACAATGAATCGAATACAAGTTCCGATAAAATTAGTTCGAATACAAAAGTCATAGAACGATTTCCATCTCTTCACAACAGAACATACATCATTCATGTTACGCTTTAAATATTTCAAATACCTGCTATTACTATAGATAAAAAGAAGCTATTGTACTATTATTGTTCATGACCTTGATAGTTTTTCAATCATTATTCATTTTCCACCATGAATTCATACCTAAAAATGTCTCAAGGTTAACGGAAATAGACATCAGTTTGAAATAATTGTATCTTTTTATCACTCATACATTTTTATAATTCCATCGTCACCCTTTCTCCTCCATTATACCGTTCTTACGTCATATTTTCACTTACTTTTTACTTATTTGTTACATGCTGTTTTAAAGTCGACAAACGAATCCTCCAAAGAAATACTAGATGACGTTGAACTCTCTTGTGTTCATTTTACCTTATTTTTTTTCTTCTAATACACATTTCTTACCTCTTCTTTTTCTGTATCAATATATAAACTTTGCAGATGAATACCGGTGGCAAAGTATATTTCATGTCATTAATGTTAACAAGGATGTATGTGCATATGTTAGTAGCGACGGAAGAGATGGTACAATTGCTCGATTCATTCACATGACATCTACACACCTGCAGGAATATGTGGGTGTGGGTGTGGGCTTGGATGCTGGTGTTGGGGTGTGGATGAGGTGGAGAGAGCCTTACCCACCACACACCCACCCAAACCTACACCCACTCACATCCACCCTCCCCACCCACACCCCACACTCCATACCCATACCCACACCCACCCTTTCAATATCATTGTTCCCTATAGCCATTGCCTACCTCAAAACCGTCCGAAGACATCAAAATTATTTTCTTCATGCATCACTTCAACATTCAATGTGTTATTAACAGCTACTAAACCACATAAGCTGGAAGGAAGACCACAATTATCTTGTCATGTACCATATTTAAGAATCTCCCTGACCTCTCTACTTGAAACATCTTTTTAAATATCGTTCATTGCCAAGAGCTTCTTCAAACAATTCTTATGCTACTTGGTAAAATCGAGATAAACAGAATTTCTCCTCCTCCAAACCACATAACTAATTCTTAAGAACAGAAGCATCTCATATGTATAACTTTCTACCCAATTCAAAACCAAAAAAGTTTAACTGAGTGAAAAGTAATCAAATTCGAAGAACTTTATGTTAAGTAAGAATATATAAAACAA